TTCCTCTCAGCACTGATGGGACCTCACCTGGAGTGCTGGGCCCAGTTCTGTCCCTGCTGGGCCCAGTCTGTCCCAGTACAGGACAGATACCAACTCATTGGAGCAAGCTCAGTGAACAGTCACTAAAAAGCTTAAGGGACTGGAGCAGCTTTCCTAAAAGGAGAATGTCTCCTAAAGCTGTCTCTCTCCTGTGAGATCTGGGACTGTTGAGCCTGGAGAGAAGGTTCAGGGGGATCTTATCAATGTTTACAAACACCTGAAGGGAGGGAATGCAGAAAAGTGAGACAGCTTCTTGTCAGTAGTACCCGGTGACACAACAAGAGGCAACAGGCACAAATTAAAACATGTCAAATTCCACCTTAACACAAAACCCCACTTTTTTTTACTGTGATGGTGCTCAAATACTGGAACAGCTTGCCCACAGGGGTGATGGAGTCTCTATGTGTAGAGATAAGCGAAACTCAAATGAATACAATTCTGGGGAACCTGCTCTAGGGGACTGCTTGAGCAGGAGGTTGGACTAGATTATCTCAGGAGGTTCCTTCCAACCTCAGTGTACAATTGTTGGTGTACAATTCCTGTACCATGAAGACACACTGAACCATCCCAAACTGATGAACTTCACAGCTCCAAAGTCACTTAACACAAAAGAGTAACTGAAAAATTAAATCATGATTTTATTTATAAGATCAGCACACTTCTGTTCTTTACAAGACAGTAATATGCCTTACTGTTATTATTTTTGAAATATTTATAATTTTTTTTTAAATGCCTGTGCTGCAAAGCATTACTTGCAGGACCTATACATTAACTTGTTGACGTTGCAACAAAACCCTCAGTTACACCCAACAATAAAAGCTTCTGACACTTTGATCAAGCACTCTTCACTCTCTCTAAAAATCAAGCAACAAAAGTGCTGTAATACTACTTTTATATTGCATTTGGCAGACAATGCTCTAAATGCCACCTAAACTGTGCTAGTTACTATGAATACATATCTCTAGGGACTGGCCCAGTGATCAATAGCGGGAGCCCAAAAGCTGCCTGACCACTAATTAAGCCCCACTATGCTTCCTGTCACAATGAATAACAAATACCATGCCAGGATGGATTGTGTAACGTACAGAGCTGAGCTCAACAGAGTGTTTTTCCCTTAATCATTCCTCTAAGCATACAGTTTAGTTGCAAACAGTAGGGCAGATATTATTATTTGCTACTTGTTTGCTACCTCTCTCGTCTCTCCTCAGTCCTTGCCAGATATTCCTGCATTGTCGCATCCACTTTTCTCTGCACAGCCCTGTGCAGCCATTTTAGTTCGTTGCGTTGATGCCACTCATAGACCTCACGATGCTGGTTGTACAGCTTTAACAAGCGAGCATCTTCCAGGAGTTCCTCTTCTTTCTGTCTGCGGGCCAAGAGGAAATCACTTCTTTGTCCTTTAGGAGGCTTGGCTCTCTGTAAGAGAAAGCATATGTCAGTGGTGAAAATAAAATCAGTTATTCTGCTTTTTTTTTTTTTTTTAGTTGAATTCATAACTAAATAAGTACATAACACCAAATGATGAGAATTTGGGATTAGACATAAATACCAACAGACCTTGCCTTGAAGACCACACCACCACTACAAGAGCATGAAATAGCTTCAGGGCCAGGTACTTGCCTGTTGCCCCGGCTACAGCTTATACCTTACTCTATATATCCCCGGTGTTTACAGTCTGCTTTACAAACACTGTTCTCAGCACAGGTAACCTCCAGCCACCTCCTGCTCTGGCACAGCTCCCCAGGGCTCCGAGCGGCTCCTCACTCACTGCTGCACCCCACTGCACACACACGGGGGCCATGTACCCTCAAAGCAACATGGACAGTAAGATCGAGGCCCCCCCTCAGCCTCCAGGGGCAGGGTTTGGTGGATGGAAAACTGCCTGTGAGCCAGCACCGTACGCTGGCAGCCCAGAAAGGCCCCGTGTGCTGGGCTGCACCCAGAGCAGGGTGGGCACAGGGCCAGGGGGGGATTCTCCCCCTCTGCTCCGCTCTGGGAGACCCCCCTGCAGGGCTGGGTCCAGCTCTGGGGCACCAACAGCAGAAGGACACGGACCTGCTGGAGCGGGGCCAGAGGAGGCCATGGAGATGCTGGGGGGGGCTGGAGCCCCCTCCCTGTGAGGACAGGCTGGGAGAGTTGGGGGGTTCAGCTGGAGAAGAGAAGGCTCCGGGGAGAGCTTAGAGCGGCCTCCCAGGGCTGAAAGGGGCTGCAGGAAAGCAGGGAGAGACTATGGATCAGGGGTGTGGGGATAGGGTGAGGGGTAATGGTTTTAAACTGACAGAGGGGAGATTTAGATGAGACCTACTGAAGAAATTGTTCCCTGTGAGGGGGGTGAGGCCCTGGCACAGGCTGCCCAGAGAAGCTGTGGCTGCCCCCTCCCTGGCAGGGTTCAAGGCCGGGTTGGACGGGGCTTTGGGCAACCTGGGCTGGGGGAAGGTGGCCCTGCCCGGGGCAGGGGGTTGAACCGAACTACCTTTAAGGTCCCTTCCGCTCTGCAAGTGCCCACTTGGACCAGCTCCCCCACGGACCCACAGCAAATGGCAGCGGGTCCTCCCAAGCCCCTCAGCCCGCACCGCACGGGGCTTCCCGTCCCGCAGCGCTACCGGATCCCCTCAGAGAACCCCGCCCCAAGGACCCCGCACTCCTCCGGAGCGGAGCGACCTCCACCCGCCCGGGCGCGGCCCCTCACCACTGCTACGGAGCGCGGGAAGGGACCGGTCACCTCCCGGCACCGCCGCGGCGCCGCCATGGCTGGGGCCGGGGTCGCGTCCCCGTTGCTATAGCGAAGCCGGGCGGCGGAAGTGACGTCACGACGCACGGGGAGAGACGTGCGC